GGGTCTTGGATGCTGCCACCTGGCCTTGCCCACTTACCTCCAGATATGCTCCCAATGCACACTGCATGCCCCATGCTCTGTGCCCTGACCCCACACACCCGGCAGCATTGCTGCTCTTCTGATTTGACAGTTGGCAGAGATGCTGGCCTCTGTTGGGAGGCTCCTCCTTGGCCAGTGAACTCCTGCTCACCCTTCAAAACCCCAATCAGGTATAGCCTCTTGCTGCAGCTCCGCCCTCCCCAACCTCCACATGGAGCAGAGCTATGCTTTGAGCTTCCCCAGCCACTCTGAAAGGCAGAGCCAAGGGCTGAGGCCTCTCTAAGTTATCAGTAGTATCCACCTCAAGGTCAGGCACCCAGACATACAGGAAGGATGGAGGGAGAGGTAGGGTGGGATACTCACAAAGACATATGCAGGATCTCGTTGGTCTCTGGCTTCCAGATCCCTCGAAGCAGCTGCTCAAAGTTGGACATGAGGGCGACACCAGAACCTACAGGACAGGGGGCTTCTGAATAAGCTCACCACCCCCAGGTCTCCTTTTCCTCTTGGTTGAATTCCCAAGGAAGCAGTCTCTCCACTCCCGAAGTCTTCTCTAGAGGGACACTGAGCCTGGGGGTGTATGATCATCAGCTGCAGGTGGGGAAACTGGGCTGAGAGAGGACAAAGCCTTGCTGAGGGTCACATGGCAAATTCAGAGCAAAAGCCACCTGAAGGAATCAGTCATGTCCCCACCTGCAAGGCAGGTCTTTAACCTGGGGTTGCCTGTCTTGATGTCCCTAGTCCAGGACCCCAAGCTATACATGAGGCTTCCAAGGCGGCCCCCACCCCCAGTCTCTCTCCTCCTCAAGACTCCAAGTTCTCAATCTTTCTCAAACCATCCATACTCTAGGAGAGATACTATACCCCTGGGGAATCTGCTCAATAGTAAAAGGTTCCTGGAGAGACAATAAGGAGACTCAAATGGAGATAGAATGGTTAAATTTCTGGAAGAATCTTCCCATTTACCCTAAATGTATTGGTTAAAGAGACTTGGACATCCACTCCAGGAACTGCTGTACCAACTAGGGTGGCTGATATGTACTACTGGACCAGGGAATCGCATCTGGGGCCATTTTGCTCCCAAGGAGGCATCTGGCAATGCTGGGAAACACTTTGAGTTGTCATAACTGGGGAAGGAGCACTACCGGCATTCAGTGAGTGAAGGCCAGGGAGGTGGCTCACCACTGTATAATGCACAGGTTGACCCCACAGCAAGGAGTAACTGAGGACACCATGGCTCAATGGATGGTGATTCTGTATCTTGGCACTTTGTGGGTACCCTTACCTTGTAGGCAGGAAGCGAGGATAAAGTGCCTAGTGGTTTTCAATACTTGCTCAGGCCTTCTCTACCTGCTTTCCTGTTACTCCTTGGCCCACTTCTCCAACTTTTAATGTTGAATTATCTCTTTTTATGTATTTTGGTGCTCTGTTTCTGGGTGCATATATGTTTAAAGGTGCTATATCTTCCTGGTATATTGGCTCCCTAACATTATAAAATGTTCTTTATATATTTTTTTGAGATGGAGTCTCGCTCTGTCGCCCAGGCTGGAGTGCAATGGCGTGCTCTCGGCTCACTGCAGCCTCTGCCTCCCGGGTTCAAGCGATTCTCCTGTCTCAGCCTCCTGAGTAGCTGGCATTACAGGCACGTGGCACCACGCCTGGCTAAGTTTTGTATTTTTAGTAGAGATGAAGTTTCACCATGTTGGTCAGGCTGCTCTCAAACTCCTGACCTCATGATCCACCTGCCTCGGCCTCCCAAAGTGCTGGGACTACAGGCTTGAGCCACCACGCCCGGCCAAAACGTTCTTTATTTCTAATAACATTTTCATTATTACTTTATTCTTTTAGTTTTAATTTTTTAGAGACCGGCTCTTGCTCTGTTGCCTACCTGGAGTGCAATGGCACAATCACAGCTCACTGTAACCCTCAACTCCCAGGTTCAAGTGATCCCTCCACCTCAGCCTCCTTTTTTTTTTTTTTTTTTTTTTTTTTCTTTTGGCTCTAGTACTTGCCACACCTCAGCCTCCTGAGTAGCTGGGACTACAGGTATTAAGCCACCATGTCCAGCTCTGTCTTCTGCACATGAAAGGGTCTGTAGGCTTCACTGGGCTGACAAAAGGGCTATGATCCACAAAAGTTAACAACTTCTATAGCTAGAGCTCTAGAGAAGAAGGGTTTCTTACCCACAGCAATTTTGCTCCCTAGGAGGTGTTTGGTAATGTCTGGAGACAATTTCTTTTCTTTTCTTTTTTTTTTTTTTTTTTTTGAGAGGGAGTCTCACTCTGTTGCCCAGGCTGGAGTGCAATGGCATGATCTCGGCTCACTGCAACCTCTGCCTCCCAGGTTCAAGCGATTCTCCTGCCTGAGCCTCCTGAGTAGCTGGGACTACAGGTGCATGGCATCGCGCCCGGCTAATTTTTGTATTTTTAGTAGAGACAGGGTGTCACCATCTTGGCCAGACTGGTCTCGAACTCCTGACCTCGTGATCCACCCACCTCGGCCTCCCAACATGCTGGGATTACAGGCGTGAGCCACCGGGCCCAGCCTTGGAGACAATTTCTTTTGTCACAGCTGGGGACAAGTGTGCTACTGGCATCTCATGGCTGGAGACCAGGGGTGCTGTTTGACATCTTACAATCCACAGGGCAGCCCCCACCACAAAGAATGACTCAGCCCCACACGTCAGTAGTGCTGCAAGTGAGAAACCCTGCTTTGGCAATACTGACTTTTGTCATTGTCATCACTGTCCTAGCTACCCCTGACAGTAACATTTCTGGAAGAACCTTCCCACTTACCCTAAAGGTATTGGGAGGTTTGGATGCCTAGTCCAACATTTACACCCTTCGCTTGGAGCAATGGCTTTCCCAGCCGGGGGTGCCTGGTAGTACCACTGGACCAAAAGTTCTCCACTGGGGCGATTTTTCATTGTCATCATCCTATTTACCTTTGACCCACCCAGTCGCAATCATGACGAACCACCCGTGGTGGTAGTGGTGATGGGCGTGATGGATGCCCACCGCGATCTTGCGGACTCGCACCACCTCCTTCATGGCCACGAAGATGAGTTTCACAGGCAAGAAGCAGACACACTTGTAGAAGAGGTCCAGGGGGCAGAAGAAAATCAAGTACCTTTTGGGGAGAGAATGCTGAGTGCCAGGGGACGAGCAGACCATGAAGGATGGGGGTAGTGAGCCATGGCAGTGTCAGACACCCCCACCCACAGCGTGCTCAGCCCAGACCAGTGTGGGTTCAGGGCTACCGTGAAGGCTGTTGCATTCCAATGCCTCCAACCTGTCGCCCCCCTGGTGCCCAGATTGTTCGTTCCCGCACCTGGCTCTGCTCTCCCGTGCCCAGCGTGGCTTACCAGACAGCTGAGGCCAGCAGGATGCTGGAGTTGTTGCTGAAGTAATCGATCAGCGGCTCCCCGAGGAGCAGGTCAGCCAGGATGTAGCTCCCGAAGCAATGCAGCATGGCACACAGCCAGGACGCCATCGGGTGGCGCCGGGACAGCTCGACGGCTCCTGGGAGGCACGGGAGTGTCCCCCAGCATCACCAGTGTGCCAAGGGCAGGCTTTACTCCCATACGCTCCAGTCAGCCTATCCTAATCTAGAGCGCCCACCTAACACTGTGCAGTTTCTAAGTTTCAGAGGAGGAACCAAGGCTCAGAGAGGCTGTGTGCATGCCTGAGGTTTCACGGAGGAAACAGAGAGCTGAGTGGGAGTCCTTTCCTCCACACCCAGAGAGGTGGCAGTGATGATGACACTGGCTCACATTTAGGACCCACTAAATCCTCACCAGTGCCCCAGCCAAGTGATGGCTTTGATGATTACAGAAGTCTCCTTATTGTCACGAGGAGACTGAGGCTTGGAGAGATGGGCCAGGCTTGCCGCTGGGAATGCATTGAAATTGCTACTCTGGGCTGGGCGTGGTGGCTCACACCTGTAATCCCAGTACTTTTGGAGTCCAAGGTGGGCAGATCACTTAAGGTCAGGAGTTCAAGACCAGCCTGGATAACATGGTGAAACCCCCATCTCTAAAAATACAAAAATTAGCTGAGAACAGTGGTGCATACTTGTAATCCCAGCTACTTGGGAAGCTGAGGCAGGAGAATCACTTGAACCCTGGAGGTGGAGGCTGCAGGGAGCCGAGATTGCACCACTGCACTCTAGCCCAGGTGGCAGAGCAGGACTCCATCTAAACATACACACACACACACACACACACACACACACACACACAGAAAGAAATAAAAGAAATTCCTTCTCTGACCACAGCTGATCCCAAGATCCCTATGAGCTTATGCTGGTATTCTTTTTTTTTTTTTCGTTTGAGACAGAGTCTCACTCTGTTGCCCAGACTGGAGTGCAGTGGTGCAATCCTGGGTAACTGCAACCTCTGTCTCCTGAGTTCAAGCGAGTCTCCTGCCTCAGACTCCCGAATAGCTGGCATTACAGGTGCCCGCCACCATGCTTGGCTAATTACTGTATTTTTAGTAGAGAAGGAGTTTCGCCATGTGTGCTAGGCTGGTCTCGAACTCTTGGACTCAAGTGAACCTCCTGCCTCAGCCTCTCAAAGTGCTGGGATTATAGGCATGAGCCATCACACCCAGCCTTATGCTGGTATTCTTATACCTGCTGTCTTTAAAAAAATTTTTTTTTAATTTTTTATTACTGTAAAATATACATTATATTTACCATTTTATGCTCGGCACAGTGGCTCACGCCTGTAATCCCAGCACTTTGGGAGGCCAAGGTGGGTGGATCACAAAGTCAAGAGATCAAGACCATCCTGGCCAACATAGTGAAACCCCATTTCTACTAAATACAAAAATTAGCCGGGTGTGGTGGTGCACGCCTGTAGTCCCAGCTATTCAGGAGGCTGAGGCAGGAGAATCACTTGAACCCAAGAGGCGGAGGCTGCAGTGAGCCGAGATCGCAGCACAGAGCTCTAGCCTGGGTGACAGAGCGAGACTCTGTCTCAAAAAATAAAGAAAGAAATAATAAAGATAAATTTACCATTTTACTTTTTTAATTTGTTTTTAGACAGGGTTTCATTCCCATCAGCCAGGCTGGAGTGTAGTGGTGCAATCACAACTCTCTGCAGCCTTGACTTCCTAGGCTCAAACACCCCTCCCACCTCGGCCTCAAAAGTATTTGGGACTACAGGGACGCAGACCAAACACCAGGCTAATATTTTGTATTTTTAAAGGAGGCACGGGGTTTCACCATGTTGCCTAGGCTGGCCTCAAATTCCCGGGCTCAAGCCATCCACCGGCCTTGGCCTCCAAAAGTGCTGGGATTATAGATGTGAGACACCATGCCAGGCCCATTTTATACTTTTTATTTTGTATTTTTTTTGAGATAGAGTTTCGCTCTTGTCACCCAGGCTAGAGTACAATGGCATGATCTCGGCTCACTGCAACTCTGCCTCCCAGGTTCAAGCGATTCTCCTGCCTCGGCCTCCCAAGTAGCTGGGATTATAGGTATATGACACCACATCTGGCTAATTTTGTATTTTTAGTAGAGATGGGGTTTCTCAATGTTGCTCAGGCTGGTCTCGAACTCCCGACCTCAGGTGACCCACCCGCCTTGGCCTCCCAAAGTGCTGGGAGTATAGACATGAACCACCACTCCCAGCCCATTTAAACATTTTTAAGTGTGTAGTTCTATGTCATTACTTTCACATTGTTTTGCCATTATCACCACCATCCATCTCCAAAACCCTTCTAATTTCCCAAACTGAAACCCATTAAACACTTACTCCTGATTCCCTGTCTCAGCCCCTGGCACCCACCATTCTACTTTCTGTCTCTATGAAATTGATGATTCTAGGTGTCTCATAGAAGCGAAATCATACAGAACTTTGTTGTTTTGTGTGCCTTACTGAGCATGATGTCCTCAAGCCTCATCCCCATTGTCGCATGTATTAAGATTTTATTTCCAGGCTGGGCACGGTGGCTCACACTTGTAATCCCAACACTCTGGGAGGCTGAGGCAGGCGGATCACTTGAGCCTGGGTGTTTGAGACCAGCCTGGGCAACACAGTGAGACCCTACCTCTAAAAAAAATTTTTTTTAATTAGCTGGGCATGGTAGCGTGCTCCTGTAGTCCCAGCTACTCAGGAGGCTAAGGGGGAAGGATCACCTGAGCTGGTGAAGTGGAGGCTGCAGTAAGCCATGATCATGCCACTGCACTCCACAGCAAGACCCTGTCTCAAAAAAGAAAAAAAAAAAGGAAAGGAAAGAGGCCAGCCTGGGAAACACAGTGAGACCCCATCTCTACACAAAAATTTTTAAAATTGCCTGGGTATGGTAGCATGCACCTGTAGTCCCAGCTAGTCAGGAGGTTGAGGTGGGAGAATCGCTTGACCCCAAGAGTTTGAGGCTGCAGTAAGCCATGATCACACCAGTGCACTCCAGCCTGGGTGACAGAGTGAGACTCTGTCTCAAAAATAATAAATAGGCTGGGCGCAATGGCTCATGCCTGTAATCCCAGCACTTTGGGAGGCCAAGGCGGGTGAATCACAAGGTCAGGAGATAGAGACCATCTTCGGTTTCATCCAAGGTGAAACCCCGTCTCTACTAAAAATACAAAAAATTAGCTGGGCATAGTGGCAGGTGCCTGTAATCCCAGCTACTTGGGAGGCTGAGGCAGGAGAATTGCTTGAACCTGGGAGGCAGAGGTTGCAGTGACCTGAGATTTCACCATTGCACTCCAGCCTGGGCAATAAGAGTGAAACTCCATTGAAAAAAAAAAAAAAGGAGGTCAGGTTTAGTTCTTAAAATAAGTTCATGAAAACGAAACACTAGGAGTACAGGATTAATGTGTATTAATCAAATCCTTGCATCTTGTATTACTCATTTAAAGCCTTTATAATTTTTATGCTAATATCTTCATAATCTTCTAAGGCCACACCCCAGAATCAGAGTTTGGGTGTCTTCTGCTGTGAACACCTCTTTCATCATATTGGTTCTGTGCTTTTTTTTTTTTTTTTTTTTTT